AGAGTGAGACCATTACAGCTAAACTTACAGCCACCAGTAGAGTGAGACCATTACAGCTAAACTTACAGCCACTAGTAGAGTGAGACCATTACAGCTAAACTTACAGCCACTAGTAGAGTGAGACCATTACAGCTAAACTTACAGCCACGAATAGGGTGAGACCATTACAGCTAAACTTACAGCCACCAGTAGAGTGAGACCATTACAGCTAAACTTACAGCCACTAGTAGAGTGAGACCATTACAGCTAAACTTACAGCCACCAGTAGAGTGAGACCATTACAGCTAAACTTACAGCCACTAGTAGAGTGAGACCATTACAGCTAAACTTACAGCCACTAGTAGAGTGAGACCATTACAGCTAAACTTACAGCCACGAATAGGGTGAGACCATTACAGCTAAACTTACAGCCACGAATAGGGTGAGACCATTACAGCTAAACTTACAGCCACGAGTAGGGTGAGACCATGACAGCTAAACTTACAGCCACGAGTAGGGTGAGACCATGACAGCTAAACTTACAGCCACGAGTAGGGTGAGACCATGACAGCTAAACTTACAGCCACGAGTAGGGTGAGACCTTGACAGCTAAACTTACAGCCACGAATAGGGTGAGACCTTGACAGCTAAACTTACAGCCACGAGTAGGGTGAGACCTTGACAGCTAAACTTACAGCCACGAATAGGGTGAGACCTTGACAGCTAAACTTACAGCCACGAATAAGGTGAGACCTTGACAGCTAAACTTACAGCCACGAATAGGGTGAGACCTTGACAGCTAAACTTACAGCCACGAATAGGGTGAGACCTTGACAGCTAAACTTACAGCCACGAATAGGGTGAGACCTTGACAGCTAAACTTACAGCCACGAATAGGGTGAGACCATGACAGCTAAACTTACAGCCACGAATAGGGTGAGACCTTGACAGCTAAACTTACAGCCACGAATAGGGTGAGACCTTGACAGCTAAACTTACAGCCACGAGTAGGGTGAGACCTTGACAGCTAAACTTACAGCCACGAATAGGGTGAGACCTTGACAGCTAAACTTACAGCCACGAGTAGGGTGAGAGCATTGCAGATAAACTTACAGCCACGAGTAGGGTGAGACCATGACAGCTAAACTTACAGCCACGAATAGGGTGAGACCTTGACAGCTAAACTTACAGCCACGAATAGGGTGAGACCATGACAGCTAAACTTACAGCCACGAGTAGGGTGAGACCATTGCAGCTAAACTTACAGCCACGAATAGGGTGAGACCTTGACAGCTAAACTTACAGCCACGAGTAGGGTGAGACCATGACAGCTAAACTTACAGCCACGAGTAGGGTGAGACCATTACAGCTAAACTTACAGCCACGAGTAGGGTGAGACCATTGCAGCTAAACTTACAGCCACGAATAGGGTGAGACCATTGCAGCTAAACTTACAGCCACGAATAGGGTGAGACCATTACAGCTAAACTTACAGCCACGAATAGGGTGAGACCATTACAGCTAAACTTACAGCCACGAGTAGAGTGAGACCATTACAGCTAAACTTACAGCCACGAGTAGGGTGAGACCTTGACAGCTAAACTTACAGCCACGAGTAGGGTGAGACCATGACAGCTAAACTTACAGCCACGAGTAGGGTGAGACCTTGACAGCTAAACTTACAGCCACGAATAGGGTGAGACCTTGACAGCTAAACTTACAGCCACGAGTAGAGTGAGACCATTACAGCTAAACTTACAGCCACGAGTAGGGTGAGACCTTGACAGCTAAACTTACAGCCACGAGTAGGGTGAGACCATGACAGCTAAACTTACAGCCACGAGTAGGGTGAGACCATTACAGCTAAACTTACAGCCACGAGTAGGGTGAGACCATTGCAGCTAAACGTACAGCCACGAGTAGGGTGAGACCATTACAGCTAAACTTACAGCCACGAGTAGGGTGAGACCATTACCGCTAAACTTACAACCACCAGTAGAGTGAGACCAATACCGCTAAACTTACAACCACCAGTAGAGTGAGACCAATACCGCTAAACTTACAACCACCAGTAGAGTGAGACCATTACAGCTAAAATTACAGCCACGAGTAGGGTTGAGACCATGGTTTTCGTCTCCCGCTCCTCAACAATGGCCTAGGCCAGGGATCGGCAACCTGCCGCTCGCGAGCCGCATGCGGCTCTTTTGATGTCAAGATGCGGCTCTCCAGTTCCATGCACACATATTTATAAATATTTTTTTATTTTTAAAACTTATTAAATATATTATAAAGAAAAACAACTTTAAATACGATAAAAACACTCATTAGAGTCTAGAGGGATTAAGTAAGGTAGAAAGTAAATAGACTGCTGAAATCCACTTGGGTACCAGGCCCAGCCACAAAGCTGTGGCCAGCACATTGGTGACAGTTCCATTCTTCCAACCGCCTAAGTGCCGATATTCTCGAATAACGTTAAATGGGGAATGTTGTTTTATTGCATTTCTCTATCGTTCAGTATGCATCAATTTGACCTGAGTGGCGTAGTTTTTAGTTTTCTACGGTTGAGCTGGGTACTGGACGGTGGGGTACGAGTTTACCATGGGCTCTTTAGGGTGGAAGATAAGCCCTGTGAGAACCGAAGGACAGAAGCGACCGATACAGTAATCAAACCGATACACAAGCCAGTTAGACGGAGTTGGCCTTGCTGAGGGCTACCTAGCTATAAGAGACACCTCCTAAGCTGGTGGTGTCGAAAAGAAAGAAAAGTAACAGATATTGGGTTCTAAATTGGATTGGGATAGTCCTACAGTTATATTGTTTAATTACTAATTATATTATAGCAGATCTAGCTAAAATACTTTAAATATGTTTTGTGCAAAATATTAGTATGTTTTTTAAGTATTAATTATTCTTTCATTTTTAAAGCTATTTATTTAAAATAAAAAATCAACTTTATATCTCTAATCCTAATCAAATACCATACTATTGATATAAAAATTTTAGTGGCTCTTTAAAAACTGGGAACTTTTTAAAATTGTAACTTTTGGCTCTTCCGGCTCAAAAGGTTGCTGACCCCTGGCCGAGGCGGGGGAAGCTGAAGATGCCGATAAACATCATGGGGAAGATCAAGGCGTAGTCCAAGAACAAGTCGCGCACCAGCAGGTGGTCAAGCTCGCTTGGCATGCGCTGCACGCGGACCTCCGGCAGCTTGTACGGTGCTTGCTGTTGCTGCTTCCTCCAGTAGTTGATGAAGATGCGGGTCAGCTTGTACGGTGGTTGTTGTTGCTGCTTCCTCCAGTAGTTGATGAAGATGCGGGTCAGCTGGTACGGTGGTTGTTGTTGCTGCTTCCTCCAGTAGTTGATGAAGATGCGGGTCAGCTGGTACGGTGCTTGTTGTTGCTGCTTCCTCCAGTAGTTGATGAAGATGCGGGTCAGCTGGTACAGTGGTTGCTGTTGCTGCTTCCTCCAGTAGTTGATGAAGATGCGGGTCAGCTGGTACGGTGCTTGCTGTTGCTGCTTCCTCCAGTAGTTGATGAAGATGCGGGTCAGCTGGTACGGTGCTTGCTGTTGCTGCTTCCTCCAGTAGTTGATGAAGATGCGGGTCAGCTGGTACGGTGCTTGCTGTTGCTGCTTCCTCCAGTAGTTGATGAAGATGCGGGTCAGCTGGTACGGTGGTTGTTGTTGCTGCTTCCTCCAGTAGTTGATGAAGATGCGGGTCAGCTGGTACGGTGGTTGCTGTTGCTGCTTCCTCCAGTAGTTGATGAAGATGCGGGTCAGCTGGTACGGTTCGTGCTGTTGCTGCTTCCTCCAGTAGTTGATGAAGATGCGGGTCAGCTGGTACGGTGGTTGCTGTTGCTGCTTCCTCCAGTAGTTGATGAAGATGCGGGTCAGCTGGTACGGTTCGTGCTGTTGCTGCTTCCTCCAGTAGTTGATGAAGATGCGGGTCAGCTGGTACGGTTCGTGCTGTTGCTGCTTCCTCCAGTAGTTGATGAAGATGCGGGTCAGCTGGTACGGTTCGTGCTGTTGCTGCTTCCTCCAGTAGTTGATGAAGATGCGGGTCAGCTGGTACGGTTCGTGCTGTTGCTGCTTCCTCCAGTAGTTGATGAAGATGCGGGTCAGCTGGTACGGTGCTTGTTGTTGCTGCTTCCTCCAGTAGTTGATGAAGATGCGGGTCAGCTGGTACGGTTCGTGCTGTTGCTGCTTCCTCCAGTAGTTGATGAAGATGCGGGTCAGCTGGTACGGTGGTTGTTGTTGCTGCTTCCTCCAGTAGTTGATGAAGATGCGGGTCAGCTGTGGTACTGCAGCTCAATCAGCGTATTTCTATTAATTTGATAATTTTTCTTTTTCCAGTCAATTTTTTTTTAAAATATAAAATTGTTTTAAATAATTCTGTAAGTTTATGTTACGTTCAGGTTGGTTTCAGATATACAACAACTCTTCGTGACTATGTTCACTACTTTTATTCCGTCAAAAATATATATATTCAAAAATAGCCCTCGTCCTAATCGCTAGCAACTAACCCCTGACAATCATTCACTCCAGCTTTTATACCGCATTCGACCTTAGGATAACAATACACAAACACACCGGGGTTAACAATATTCTAGGGTAAACTCAACTCACACACTCACTCTCCCCTAATTCTAGATCATTCTATCCTATTCTAATCTAACCTACAACTGACCCGTAACAGTTTATAATATGAGCAGTATAGACAATGCACTGCAAAAATGTTTAAATCTGAGGGTTGCTTATGATGTTGACATTTTGAGACAGTTCCTTTTCTTCATATGACAAAATCCAACGCTGGTTGTTACGCGAAAACAAAAGGGCTAGTAAGTAGGTCACCAACGAGTTCTATGGCTCATGCAGGTTTAATTGAGCCGTAGAACTGGTTGGTGACCTACTTACCAGCCCTAAAGCGTCCTTGTACAGAAACACTTTTTTCAAGCGACCTCCGGAAATTCCCGAAATCTCGAACCAAAAAGTTTTTTCATTGAACAAACCGCGCCAATGACTCGTATTTACTTGATCATGGTGCATGGCGCCCGATAAGCAAAACATCACAAATCAAGGATAAAAACATCATAATATTATATCGAAGAAGGAACAACTGGTTGGGTAAACTATTTAATTAGCCACGAATGCTGCATTCTTTAAAACTCAGTTGCTAAAATATTATAAACACATTAGGCTAAGGCTTTTAATCCATTGTAGAAATAATTCTCATTGGTTGTATAGAATAAATAAGCGTTATTCTTGATATCTCTATCTCCAGTACAATAAGGCTACACAATGAGTTGTATAGAATAAATAACCGTTATTCCCTAATTATTAAATCTATCAACACAAAAATACAAAAACTAATTAAACCCACACTTAAACTAAACCACTAATACAGCATCATTTAATCTTCAGACACTGCAAGTATATGACATAATCATTATATATTTAAAGCACAACTGTTAATCATCAGACAAGTTAATCACATCACTTAATCCTAACTTAATGCTAATCCATATATTATCATAACGGCATGTACATCATAGGCCAACCCAGAGGCGTAGCGAGAGGGGGGGGGGAGATGGTACATATGTCACCGGGCGCCAACCTTAGGGGGCGCCAAAATGGGTTAGAAAAACAAATTAACATCTCAATTTAGGTGCAAATTGAACGTTTGAGGAGAGGGGGAGGGGGGAGGGGGGTGCAACTTGAAAATTAAAAGGTTGCCCCCAAGGGAGGCGCTCAAATATAAAGTTTGTCCCCGGGCGCCGGGAAGGGTCGCTACGCCTCTGGGCCCACCATGCTAAAGGAATAAATCTGTAGGCCCACCATGCTAGAGGAATAATCTATAGGCCCACCATGCTAGAAGAATATATCTATAGGCCCACCATGCTATAGGAATAAATCTATTGGCCCACAATGCTAGGTGGATAAATCTATGGGCCCACCATGCTAGAGGGATAAATCTATAGGCCCACCATGCTAGAGTAATAAACCTATAGGCCTACTACGCTACAGGAATAAATCTATAGGCCCACCATGCTACAGGAATAAATATATAGGCCCACCATGCTAGAAGAATAAATCTATAGGCCCACCATGCTAGAGGAATAAATCTATAGGCCCACCATGCTAGAGGAATAAATATATAGGCTCACCATTCTAGGGGGATAAATCTATAGGCCCACCATGCTAGAGGAATAAATCTATAGGCCAACCATGCTAGAGGAATAAATCTATAGGCCCACCATGCTAGAGGAATAAATCTATAGGCCTACAATGCTAGAGGAATAAATCTATAGGCCAACCACGCTAGAGGATTAAATCTATAGACCCACCATGCTAGAGGGATAAATATATAGGCCCACCACGCTAGAGGAATAAATCTATAGACTCACCAGAAGGTGCTGGTAGAATTCCATCGATACTGACCATATAATAGATAACAAGTGACAATTATTAAGGTTTTAAATTTGACATAATTAACATAAAGAAATGTTCAAAAAAAATTGTCATACTCTAAAATCTAGAACTATGTCTATTCTCACTTAAAGACACTTCAACAGAATATCAGAATAGTTATAGGCCTACATCATCTCCTTCGAATCTGGGTTCGTGTCAGTAGAAAGTCCATAAGTCGGCCCAGCTCAGATGGCTACCTGACTGACGCCAGGGAATAATAATGGCGGCTGGACATAGTGCTGACCAAATGAAAACTTAAATTCTTTGCTACAGTTTTTCTAGATTTTGGTGGGCGACAACTCTGGTTACCAGACGTGAACTCATGGAGAAAATGTTCAAGTTTGTTCTGCTCATCTGCCTTGGTTTTCTACCCAGTATGTGAGTTTCATGTAGTCAGATAGTGAATATGTGGGACAGATTTTATACTGTATGTATGTGTACTCAGATACTGAAAATGTAGGACAGATTTTATACTGTATTTAAGTGTAATCAGATACAGAAAATGTAGAACATATTTTATACTGTACGAGCCGACCCGCGGCGTATCACACGCCTCTATTTAGTTTAATTTTCTACTTCTTAGTAGTTCATAATTTGTGAATTCGACAGTACCAATACTGTCACTAATAATATTTGCTTTAAAACACTAAAACCCTCCTTTCCTCCATATATATATATAGATGTAAGTGTACTCAGATACAGAAAATGTAGGACAGATTTTATAATGTATGTAAGTGACTTTAATTCAGAAAAAAATATGGTGAGAATAAAAGGCTGATATCACAATTCATATAGGTGATGTTCTTTTTAAACTTAACCGAAATCTGACTGAAGCTCCAACGCTAAACTAGACAACGATTTAACTCCTAAAGTTAAACATAACAATATAACTACACGAAAGTTTAACATAACAATACTCCTACACTAATGTTAAACATAACAATATTCCTACACTAAAGTTTAAAAATATTCTTACACTAAAGTTAATCATAACAATATTCCTACACTAAAGTTAAACATAAAAATATTCCTACACTAAAGTTTAAAAATATTCCTACACAAAAGTTTAACATAACAATATTCCTACACTAAAGTTAAACATAAAAATATTCCTACACTAAAGTTAAACATAAAAATATTCCTACACTAAAGTTTAAAAATATTCCTACACAAAAGTTTAACATAAAAATATTCCTACACTAAAGTTAAACATAAAACTATTCCTACACAAAAGTTTAACATAAAAATATTCCTACAATAAAGTTTAAAAATATTCTTACACTAAAGTTTAACATAAAAATATTCCTACAATAAAGTTTAAAAATATTCCTACACTAAAGTTAAACATAACAATATTCCTACACTAAAGTTTAACATAAAATTATTCCTACAATAAAGTTAAACATAACACTATTCCTACACTAAAGTTAAACTTAGTAGTAGTCCAGGGCTTTCATGGCAGACCACTATCACAGCTTTTGCACGGAAGTCGCGGGCTGGTTTGACCTCTGAACCCCGAAGGATCTGACCGCTAGCCTCATAAACACAACAAGGACTATTATTCGACCACACAGGCGACACAATTACAGGGACGACGATACAGACAAATAGTAGCTTCCTTGAATGGGTATAGTGCAAACATGTAGAGGGGGGTAAAAACAGGCGTTGTCTGACTTGATGCATTTAGGTTCTGTCTGTTCTGTCTTTACTTGGACTATAATCTGTACCTTTGTCTACCGTTGGCGTTGAAATATCACTTTCTGTTTTTATTGCTAATTTCAGACACAACGCTGGCTTCCACCACTCGCATTCCAGGTTCGTAACGTTAAACTATTGTTCTTATAGCATCGTCAACACAAACATAACGTTTACGTTTCTTTGCTGGCAGGTACATCAATATGATCACACCTCTTCAATACTATGTGATCATCTATTGTGTGAACTCTTGCTCGACATGTTGCTAAATGGCAAACATAAATTCACCAGAAACTAATGTCCTAAAACCTTTCTGCGAGGTAACGAAAGAGGCGCTAGCTGAGTAATCACCACTAATACTGCTTTGTTTGATGCACGCTACGATTAACTTAGCTCCGCGATGACCGCTGTCGTTTAATTAAGCATTTGTCACTGATCGCTAAGGCGTGACCGACGCATAACTATTGACTTTAGATGTTAGTTGTATTGTCAATGGAGGGTGGATGTCTTTCCCTTAAGGCATGTCTCTGCCGTCAAAGTGGGCGGCCACCTTGATACGAAGGTGTGTCTTTATTGTTATTTCATCCTCTTTGATCTAGTTTTGTCCACCTGACGTGGTTGGATTGTCTCATGTTTGGCAAGCTCGCCTACGCTGTCTATCGAAAAAAAAATTCTTTAATCTTCGTATACTATATTACTAATACTAACTTTAAAATGTTTAGTGCAATATGACAAATTTATACGGCAAACATTTCTTACAATCTATAATATAAGCGGGCTGTGTCTGTCCTTCCTTCCTTCCTTCCTTCCTTCCTTCCTTCCGTCCGTCCGTCATCGCTATAGATTTTGGGACTATAAAAGTAAACTACGCACCATGCTGTGCTTTTCAGTGCACCGCAGTGTCTTATTATAAGTATTAGAGTAGGGTTTGTTTATATAGCGGCATAGAGCTATTTTATAATTTCCACTGTTTGTACAATTCTGCATAAAGTAAAGAGAATATTAAATACACGCACATTGCAAAATCTGCAAGACGGAATAATTGTTGGAATAATATAATTAGCAAAATGTGAATGCAAATTATGCAGACGTGTAAGAGTACATTATTGTTGGAATATTATAATTAGCATTGATTGATAAAAGGCTATTTTTTATTTATTTTATTCACTGAATGTAATGTTTACTACTTATACTTTTTAATCAACTATTAAGCACTATTTTAGACGCGTCATCACGTTCATTCGGTGCGCAATGGTTTTAGTTATGAAACTCTATTGTAAATTTTTAAAATTAAAAAAATGCGTGAATGGATAAAGTGAAATATTGTAGGTAAAACACGGATATTTTAAATACTGCCTATTATTTATACTGTTTACTAATTATTATTCTATCTTTCGGTTTGCGGACAAGCTAGGGGTTTTATAGGAGAGGCGTAGCGAGGGGGGGGTGCATATGTCCCCGGGTGCCAACCTTACGGGGCGCCAAAGTGGGTTGGAAAAAATTTGCGAGGGGGGGTGGTGGAAATCGAAAGTTTTAGGGCGGGGGGGGGGGGGCAGGGGTGCAAATCGAAAGTTTGAGGGGGGTGCAAATCACCGTAAAGGGCGCGATTTGGCGCTACGGGCTAGACTGTGAGCAATATGCCTTTATGATTGCATTTAAATTGTGTTTATGTTATGAGTGTTGTGTTTGTTTTTTCGTTTGTGTTTTTTTTTTTGCGTTCGTTTGTGTTGTGTTTAGTTTTGTCCTGTTCCCAAGTTGGTACATTTAAAAAAGATTTACCGTGGCGGAGCACGGGATGCAGCTAGTTACTATATAGGCATATAAACAATATTAACCATAGTAAAAAAAAAACATATGACAATCAATTAAAAAAAATTCAGATCAACTAAAATCATCAACTACATTATTAAAATTTAGGTGTGAGATATTTTGTCTGAGATATTTTGTCTGAGATCAATTGTCCTTGGTATCATTTGTCCAGATATATTTTGTCCTGGTATCTTTTGTCCTGAGATCATTTGTCCGTGAGATATTTTTTCTGAGATATTTTGTCTGAGATTATTTGTCCTGTCACCTCGCCATAATTCTAGCCCAGTCCTAAAAGTTAAACCTCGCCATAATTCTAGCCAGCCCTAAAAGTTAAACCTCGCCATAACTCTAGCCCAGTCCTAAAAGTTAAACCTCGCCATAATTCTAGCCCATTCCTAAAAGTTAAACCATGCCATAATTCTAGCCCATTCCTAAAAGTTTAACCTCGCCATAATTCTAGCCAGCCCTAAAAGTTAAACCTCGCCATAATTCTAGCCCAGCCCTAAAAGTTAAACCTCGCCATAATTCTAGCCCATTCCTAAAAGTTTATCCTTGCCATAATTCTAGCCCATTCCTAAAAGAAAAGTTAAACCTCGCCATAATTCTAGCCCAGCCCTAAAAGTTAAACCTCGCCATAATTCTAGCCCAGCCCTCAAAGTTAAACCCGTCCTTTATGTTTAACTTAGCCATAGTTGAGACGTTAGTTCTTAAATTAAATGATTCCAGTGCTAACTCTCTTCCCACAATACATGTTCGATATTATCTACGCAGAGGCGTAGCGACCCTTTTCGGCGCCCAGGAACAAAATTTCAATTTGGCGCCCCCCTCCCCCTATTTATATATTTTAAAAATTATAAAGCGAAACTGCAACTAAAATGACCTTTTAATTTTTTAAGCTCATTAAATGTGCTCATTAGGGTCAGCGCCCGGGGACATATGTACCCCCTCCATTGCTACGCTTCTGTATCTACGTCAGTTTGTCATAAAAGCAAGTTTTATTGGATGTTGTTTTATCCAAATGCCTTACTTAGCACGGTTCATTTGAACTGAGTATTTGATGTTGTTTTACCCAAATGCTGTAGCACTGTTCACTTGAACTAAGTATTTGATGTTGTTTTACCCAAATTCAATAGCACGGTTCACTTGAACTAAGTATTTGATGTTGTTTTACCCAAATGCCTTACTTAGCACGGTTCACTTGAACTGAGTATTTGATGTTGTTTTACCCAAATGCCGTACTTAGCACGGTTCACTTGAACTAAGTATTTGATGTTGTTTTACCCAAATTCAATAAAACTGTTTCACTTGAACTAAGTATTTGATGTTGTTTTACCCAAATACCGTACTTAGCACGGTTCACTTGAACTAAGTATTTGATGTTGTTTCATCCAAATGCTGTTGCACTGTTCACTTGAACTGAGTATTTGATGTTGTTTTATCCAGATGCCTTACTTAGCACGGTTCACTTGAACTAAGTATTTGATGTTGTTTTACCCAAATTCAATAGCACTGTTTCACTTGAACTAAGTATTTGATGTTGTTTTACCCAAATACAGTAGCACTGTTTCACTTGAACTAAGTATTTGATGTTGTTTTACCCAAATTCAATAGCACTGTTTCACTTGAACTAAGTAATTGAAGTTTTTTTTACCCAAATGCCGTACTTAGCACGGTTCACTTGAACTAAGTATTTGATGTTGTTTTACCCAAATACAGTAGCACTGTTTCACTTGAACTAAGTATTTGATGTTGTTTTACCCAAATTCAATAGCACTGTTTCACTTGAACTAAGTATTTGCTGTTGTTCTACCCAAATGCCGTACTTAGCACGGTTCACTTGAACTGAGTATTTGATGTTGTTTTACCCAAATGCCGTACTTAGCACGGTTCACTTGAACTAAGTATTTGATGTTGTTTTACCCAAATTCAATAGCACTGTTTCACTTGAACTAAGTATTTGATGTTGTTTTACCCAAATACCGTACTTAGCACGGTTCACTTGAACTAAGTATTTGATGTTGTTTCATCCAAATGCTGTTGCACTGTTTACTTGAACTGAGTATTTGATGTTGTTTTATCCAGATGCCTTACTTAGCACGGTTCACTTGAACTAAGTATTTGATGTTGTTTTACCCAAATTCAATAGCACTGTTTCACTTGAACTAAGTATTTGATGTTGTTTTACCCAAATACAGTAGCACTGTTTCACTTGAACTAAGTATTTGATGTTGTTTTACCCAAATTCAATAGCACTGTTTCACTTGAACTAAGTAATTGAAGTTTTTTTTACCCAAATGCCGTACTTAGCACGGTTCACTTGAACTGAGTATTTGATGTTGTTTTACCCAAAATGCCTTACTTAGCACGGTTCACTTGATCTAAGTATTTGATGTTTATTTACCCAAATGCTGTAGCAATGGTTCACTTGAACTAAGTATTTGATGTTGTTTTACCCAAATGCCTTACTTAGCACGGTTCACTTGATCTAAGTATTTGATGTTTATTTACCCAAATGCTGTAGCAATGGTTCACTTGAACTAAATATTTGATGTTGTTTTACCCAAATGCCGTACTTAGCACGGTTCACTTGAACTGAGTATTTGATGTTGTTTTACCCAGCTCCCATGCATAGCACTGGTTCCCTTGAAATGAGTATTTTAGGCTTTGAGAAAGAATGCAACAGCGACGCCATTTGCAAGATTACTGGCTATGTGTTTGGGACCTTTGAAGACAAAGCTGAACGCCCAGAGAGTGCGTGCACCCACGTCACTTTGTTTCAATGTGAATCAAGTGCGGACTGTAGCCAATCGTCATCCTGGCAAGAGGTGGGTAGACATTTGTGACATTTCTAGTTAGTGTGTTTGTGACATTTCTAGTTAGTGTGTTTGCGACATTTCTAATTGGCGTGTTTGTGACATTTCTAGTTTGCGTGTTTGTGATATTTCTAGTCAGTGTGTTTGTGACATTTCTAGTAAGTGTGTTTGTGACAATTCTAGTTAGTGTGTTTGTGACATTTCTAGTTAGTGTGTTTGTGACATTTCTAGTTTGCGTGTTTGTGACATTTCTAGTCAGTGTGTTTGTGACATTTCTAGTTGGCGTGTTTGTGACATTTCTAGTAAGTGTGTTTGTGACAATTCTAGTTAGTGTGTTTGTGATATTTCTAGTTAGTGTGTTTGTGACATTTCTAGTTAGTGTGTTTGTGACATTTCTAGTTAGTGTGTTTGTGATTTTTCTAGTTGGCGCGTTTGTGACATTTCTAGTTGGCGTATTTGTGACATGTCTAATTAGTGTGTTTGTGACATTTCTAGTTAGTGTGTTTAGCTAATGCTTTTTGCTCTCGAAAATTCTTCATGATCCCAAAGCTAAAAAAAAAAATGTCATGCGTATACTTTGCTCTCTATATGATCCAAAGACTATCCAAAATATACTTTATGTAAACACGCCCCTTGTCTCCACAGAAGTGCCAACTGTTCGCGTACCCATGCCAGATGAGCACCTGTGGGAACGGCTCACGTACAGAGCCGAAGTGCTACTGCTCCACCGGTCACCATATCAAGATCTGGTTCCCTGCCGTACCTACCCTAAACTTTCGCCTCACTGCCAAAATCATGGATAATGGTCAAGAGATCGGGCAAGTGGTTAGCAACGTCTTTGAGGCTCACGATCCTGATGGTATGGAACAGTTAGCATTGTCTTACGTATTACTTATAGTATAGCTTGGGTAAAACTAGGGGTTATGTATAGGGTTATAATAGTTATATTTAAATTGAAAGCAGTTTTTTTTAAATACTTAAGCATCAGGATCTGTTAAACGGAGCCAACTGCACAGAGGTCAGGAGTTTCAACTTGTTTCAATTGTCAGGTGTTTCTACTTGATTCAGTTGTCAGGAGTTTTTACTTGATTCAATTGTCAGGAGTTTCTACTTGATTCAATTCTCAGGAGTTTCTACTTGATTCAATTGTCAGGAGTTTCTACTTGATTCAATTGTCAGGATTTTCTACTTGTTTCAATTGTCATGATTTTCTACTTTATTCAATAGTCAGGAGTTTCTACTTGATTCAGTTGTGAGGAGTTTCTACTTGATTCAATAGTCAGGAGTTTCTACTTGATTCAATTGTCAGGAGTTTCTACTTGATTCAATAGTCAGGAGTTTCTACTTGATTCAATTGTCAGGAGTTTCTACTTGATTCAGTTGTCAGGAGTATTTCGTTTTGGTAAATTATTGTCAAAGGGTAACACAAACGAAATCACTTTGTTTCGCAGTTTAGCCGAGGCTACCTCGCTTTAAAAAATGTATGGTATTTGATAACACAATTGTCAATGTACAAGAACACATTAAAATTTAAATCACACTTTTTGACACTACATTTGAAAGTCAACTATGAATTCTATTATTGTTTCTCCAATAAGAAGTTATCCTTGCCACTCTTTTGATGTGTGTTTGTTACTAAAACAAATAACCCACATCGTTAACATAGGCGGACTAGAAGTTGCTATTGAAATCTTAATTTATTCAACGAAAAAAATGTTTATAATTTCCTTGACTACCAAATACTTGAAGCTAGCCGATCCCCAGGCAGGATGTGGGTAACATCATATTATCATCATCATCAGATAAACAAGGGGCGTAGCGAGGGGGGGGGGGGGCAGGGGGTGCGGACCGCACCGGGTGACACAATTTAGGGGGGGGGGGGTGACACCAAGGCAAAAAGTAGTAAAAATATATAGAGAAAAATGTGATGGGGGGGGGGGGGGTGCAAATCGAAAGTTTGAGGGGGGGTGCAAATCAAAAACTTGAGGGGGGGGGTGCAAATCGAAAGTTTGAGGGGGGGGGGTGCAAATCAAAAACTTGAAAGTTTGTCCCCGGGACGCCTCTGGGGGGGGGGGTGACACCATTAAGTGCCGCACCGAGTGACACCCGACCTCGCTACGCCACTGAGATAAACATCACATTAATATCATCATCAGCTAAGTTCGTTTGCCCAAATAACAAAAGGGGAAAAAACAGAAAAATACCGAAATTTGAAAAAAGGATGAGCCAATTGGATAGTCACATTTTATATTTGAACATTTCATAGAGTGTAGTTTTTATGCCATTCTCCAGGCTTGCTGCAAATATTATCGTAATCTTATTTGGTTTATAGTTACATAAAGTTTATCATTATTAATAAAACTAGAGGAGAAATATTCTTAATAGCAGTTAATTAATATACATTTTAATTTTAAACTCTAATTTAAAAAAAAAAATTTTTTATTGTTTCATAAATTACCTTTTTGAAAAGTCTGTTTGTGGTCAAGGGGAAACAAACATGAGACTATTATCTTTCGGAGTTCAGCAAATGTTACCTCTCTTAGAGAAAAATCAATGATATTAATATTACTATGTATTACTATATATCCATATTTATTAACATTACGATTTATTTACAGAACCATATTTAATATAATTAACAATTTTTATTCAATATAAAGTGGAGTTTAGATCAATCTTCTCTTTGCCTCTACATATTTATATGGATGTCAAGTAATATATAAGAACAATAAATATTTTAATGAAAGTAGACAGTGCCCGATGTATTCAGATAATTCCATATATCTTGTTGAGAAAGTTTTATAAATAGATGTTACCATATACAAGACATTGTGAGACTGAAAAGTCTCGTATCGTTTTTTAGATCATCCGTGACGTCAAGGGTAGCCTGCAGTTATAGTATGTGCTGATTACATTGGTTTTGTGCGCGCACACACACACATACACACACACACACACACACACACACATACACACACATACACCCACACACACGCACACACGCACGCACGCCCAAACACACCCACACCCACACACACCCACACATATATATAGTATATCATACATATATATATATATATATATATATATATATATATATATATATATATATATATATATATATATATATATATATATATATATATATGGTGACAGGAAAAATGATCTCAGGACAAATGATCTCAGACAAAATATCTTGTCCATGATATCATTTGTCCTGATATATTTTGTCCTGGTATCTTTTGTCCTTGAGATCATTTGTCCTTGAGATCATTTGTCCTGAGATCATTTGTCCTGAGATCATTTGTCATGGAACCATATATATATATATATATATATATATATATATGAAGAGTTGATTTTCAAAATGCAATATATCCAAAATTTGGGTTTCTAGAAAATCGAACTTTTCTCCTACACGAAGCCATTGTACAATTTGCTAAAACTGTTTGTCAATATAGGTTCATAACCCTCATATAAATAGGACTAGAATGGTTTTTGAAATGTACCTGCATAAAAAGATGCTTTTTTTTGGTCCCAAAATTTGCGTTTCGTTGCAAAATGAGGTATATCCAGCTTTTGTTAAGCTACAAAACGCTGTATATCCATTTTTTTTCTAATAATACATCTGATGTCCAATATTTTAGTTTATTATTTTATTAAGACCCACTTATATTCCCAGTGTTATCATCTCACTACAATTGTACCATGTTTTTCTGTTACTTTAAAGTGTTTTTAGTGAGTAATTTCGGTTATTTGAACAATTTTCAAAATGATGCAAGTCTCTAACGAGAGACTTTAATTTGAAGAGTACAGCTTGTCTTTAGGTTCATAACCCTCATATAAATAGGACTAGAATGGTTTTTGAAATGAAACTGCATAAAAAGATGCTTTTTTTTTTGTCCCAAAATTTGCGTTTCGTTGCAAAATGAGGTATATCCAGCTTTTGTTAAGCTACAAAATAGAAATAAAATGAAAATTTTGCGCCGTGAAGATTAAAATTAAGTTTTCCTAATAGTAACTGACTAGCTTTACAATATGGGCACGTTATCTCATTTTTTTCAAAAATGGCGCTTATCGCGTTTTGAAAATCAACTCTTCATATATATATATATATATATATATATATATATATATATATATATATATATATATATATATATATATATATATATATATATATATATATATATATATATATATATATATATGATGACTCTATCAACAGATCCTGAACATTCTCAAAGACAAAAACTCGATGGATCGAATCAGTTGCGTTTTGGTATGTCCACAACGATTTTCTTTAATTTATTTCCGGGTGGGGGAGGTAAGTTGGCTGACCTTGCTGTATACTGGCTAGGTAATTTAAATACAGAAATAAATGCAGTTTATTAGCATAAAGTAGATGCTATAGTAGGTACATGATTTTGTCGAACTAGTTTTTTTTTAATTTAAACTGGCTATTTTGTATTTTTATAATGATTTGTATTATATAGATTTAGTTTCAATATGGACTTGCAATAATTTGATCCTGTTTATTCCAGATTTGGAACTGGTTGTTGCTAGTGTACTAGTCGCCTCCTACCTGACCAAGCGAATCTGTACTTAAATGATCTGCAGTGGAGAAGATTCTCTAGCCGTCGATTGATTGGGGGAAACATTGCCATCGATCGTTTGATAATTCCATGAATCAGGAGCATCAAATGTTTTAAAGGTTCACCTTGGAACTCAGTGTTTAATGTAAATAGAAATAAATAATTGCATTTGTTACCTAAAAGGGGCTATGCCTTAGTGTTATGCTCAGTTGACGTCTTTCTGTTGGGAACTAGCCATAACACAATTAAACACAGAGTCCAACGTTCATTGATCACAATAAAATATAATCTTTTCAAGTACAACCGAGAAACACAGATAACCTTCAACTACAAAACACTCCTCCTTCTTAAGACAAACTCAGGTTACCCTCTGCTGACCATATCACACACTGCTTACACACGTCTTTCTCTCGCTGGCACACCACTTACAAAGGGGAGGCCACTCTCACACACACTTTATATAAACAAATACATCACACTTAGCTTGCAAGTTATTCTTTACTTAACTAGAAAAAAGTAGATATTATTTAAGCGCGAGAAAAGTTCGTTAGTTTTGTGTGATCCACCTTCATTGTTAGATTCGTTTCACTTCGCTAGTCCTTTCTTTCATCAAAAATAATCTAAACGTCTTGGTGTAAACAAAATTAATCTTAACGTCTTGTTTCTAAAACAAAATTGATCTAAACATCTTGGTCTAAACAAAATTAATCTAAACGTCTTGGTTTAAACAAAATTAGCCTAAAAGTTTTGTTTTTCTTATAACTGCGAACTAAAATCTTAGCGATTATTAGGTAGGCCTATGATTGATTTTACTTTGAGTTTAAGTGCTCCAATAAAGCGTCTTGATTTGTTTATGAACGTGTCATTTATTCCAATACAAAATTAAGGCATCGTACCATATGTATTTTCCTTTTTCCTGTGTATACACCTTGTTGTTCTTAAGGAAATTCCATCATGCACCTGTGTATACACCTGGTTGTTCTTAAGTAAATTCCATCATGCACCTGTGTATACACCTTGTTGTTCTTAAGTAAATTCCATGATGCATCTGTGTATACACCTGGTTGTTCTTAAGTAAATTTCACCACGCACCTGTGTATACACCTTGTTGTTCTTAAGTAAATTTCACCACGCACCTGTGTATACACCTTGTTGTTCTTAAGTAAATTCCATCATGCACCAGTGTATACACCTTGTTTGTTCTTAAGTAAATTCCATCATGCATCTGATTGTTTCTAAAATATCGGCCTTCCAATGGCGGAGGTCTTGAGATAATTTTAGCATCACTGTGTCTTACGATCATGTAATTTTAGCCAATAAAATGAATGGTGTCTGCTTTTCTTTGTTAACTTCCATTTACTTTTTTTATCAGTCTTCGTTTGTGGATGAAATTTGGTTAGTTCTGTTAGTTCAGACATCTCCTGGCTAAAGTCTTGCTTAGTATTTTTGGCTGTCTTTAATTTCTCATCATCATCATTTCACGTTTGTAGACAAGACATATAGTAGATAAAGTAGAGTTCGTCTATTTCAAAGAACTCGGCATCTGATGCTTGTCTTTGATTTCGTTTTGAAATTTTTTATGGTTTTTTTTTTCAGTGTTGTAAAATTTGATTTCATTTTGGAATTGAAGATTTGTTTTAAGATTACGTATTTAGATGTTTTTCATGTTGGGGGGCTGTTTTCCAATTGTGATCTTTGATTTCTTTATTATATTTGGAAGTTATATTCAAGATTTTTAACTTGATTTCTTTTTCCAAATTGTATTGGGTTTCCTTTTCAAAGATTGTAAAATTTTTTAAAAAATAAAATTAGTCAATCATTTTTTTTCAATATTTAGAAATGTATTAATTCTTTTTTATTTTAAATGATTATATTTTGTTAGATTACTGAATTTTTTTGTATAAAAATGTTTCAAGTTTTTTCACTTGTAATTGCATTAAATTTGATTCATCTTTTTGCTCATGCAAGCCACCCACATTTTATAAGAAAGAGGTAAAGTTTTAAAGATGTACACATTTTTTTAGTCAAGCAAAAATGGAAACAAAACAAGCACATCTTCTTCTTTGAAGTCAAAATTGTGGATAACATTCCCATGTTTTATAACGACGAGTAATGTTAAACATGATACAAATCATGGCAAGCTGTAGCAGTAATCGCTATTTCTTGCTAGATATATTATGTGAACATCTGTTAATTGAATGAAAATTTCCATTTCGGTAGACGTGTCTGATAGGCGGAGTCGATAGTTGCTAAGCCGAAAAGTCCCAAGTTCGAAACCCTGGGCAGATGAGGCTGGATAGTTGGGGGACAACAGCACATCTAGGAGAGACAACTCCAAATTAAAAACAAACAAATAACTGCTGCTTTGTAGTTTGTTCTTGGTCGGACAAAGGCTATGGAAGCAAACCCAAAACTAAAAGCAGGCTGAAATCGAAGTCAACGGTCTAGATTTCGCATTCATGTTGACACGTAATACTTCCTTGTCTTGAAGGGAATCCCGCACCACATTATAATTCACAGCGATGAATCAAAAGATAAATACGTGATGGTTATTGTTGAGTCAATCTGAAATCTTATGATACATCACGTTTTAGAAAGAAGATTCTATTTGTTTTGTAGAGTGACCAGTGCGTAAGTTCTCGACTTCCCAGACTATAATATCTAGTGCCTCTCGATCAATACTAAACAAGCGCAGAACCTTAGATCTTTGACGCTGTAATTCATACAAGATCGAAATGCTACCATCATCGGTGAAACATAATTGCATGCAATTTTACTTTTTTTTTTTGAAGCTATTTCGTCTTCGCAGTCCAAGAAAATTCAAAGCCAGTCTAGAAAGTTTCGGGTAGGAAAGGCAATTTCGTGATTCCTGTTTAATCATTTTCTTTGAACGCGATCCGAAAATGCCCGGTGATCGATTAAAGAGATTGGTTAATTTAAAGTCGTTGATACCCGACTATCTTGCTATTTTCGGAAAAAGACCATTTCTCCGTCTATTGTGTAGTCTTGGTAAACTATCTCAATTTACTTAACTACCTGTTATAAATTATACCTCGTATTTTATACAGCTACAGGCGTAGCAGAAAAGAAAGCTTTATTTTAGATTTTATTTTACAAATCATTCTACGCCGAAATATCACAAAACATAATAATCGAAAATAATTTAAACAAAAATTGTTGTTTTTATATTTTTTTTTTAATTTGCGGAGAAATATTTGTTTTGATAAATTTGGTTTTAAAATTACAATATACAATACGTCAAACGCTACTTTAAAAGCTCTACTTGTAGATGAATTGAGACATTTTTATGTGTTACAAGTGCTACTGGCCTTTTCATTTGCGTTTTAACGTCAAAGGCTTACTGAATAGTCTAATGTTAGGTTTGGATAGTTATTGTAAAAAAAAAGAAAAGCTTAACTTTATTAAGACAAACCTATAAATGCTGTTAAAAAACAGTCAAGAATTTTATTAAAGTATATAAGTTAACGCATTTCTTACACGTACGAACAGAAACATATTCTTTAAGGTATTAGATTGTTATAATTTATGTGTTATGAATTTTTCAAGTTATTTAAAATTGATACTTTTATTATTATAAATTTCTTGTTATTTGAAAATACCAGTATTTATTATAAATATTGAAGCTCTAGGTTATATTTTGTCATTTTTCATCGGAACTTTAAAGCAGTCAGAATTTTTAAAAAAGAAATATGCTTTTTAACTAGGCTATCTGTGAACGTTATCGATACTTGAATATTCTTAAGATATTTGGATATTCTTCATGTCGTGTAAATATTCAAGTCACTATTTCTAATTTTATTTCTGGTATCTATTATCTGAGATTACATACATACGTTATATGCTTGTGATTAGCTGGATATATATCTAAATAATTAGTTGCAGTTTATTTGTCGAACTTTATAAGATATGAAATTTGACTAATAGAAGCATTATTTCGTTAAATACGTGTTTCTAACAACACGTACGTTATAGAAGATACTCATTCTAAAACCTAGTTTTTTTATTTGTTTAACAGCTAAAATGTTTACTTCCTTCTTACATCATTAATTATCAAACACAAATACAATTCACGCGCTAAAATCATGCGTCTTTAATTACAAATGTTTAAAACCTCTAAACAAGTATACGCCGGCTATTGTTCGTTAACGTTAAAATAATATAAAACGAATTTTCTACACCTTAACACAATCTACCTATATAATCAATACATGTATCATTATGAAATGTAATTTTTAATTTTATATCTTGCCACGAAAACTATAATGACTTTATTCCAAGAGGCGGCACCTAAATAAACTGACTACTTTAAAACAATTCAAGTTATATAATCAATACCATTTACTATACACCTGTATGCCTCTGTAAATGCAATTAATTAACTTAGACGAAGTAATTCTCTCAAAAAAAACAACATGTTCAACAAATACAACATAGGGCCTTTTTATTACGATGAGACATTAATTACATTAAGCAGACTGGCGGCTATATGGAGATATGTCTTTACGCGTCAATATTTTCAATACAAGAATTGATAGGGATGATGCTCATATAACACATTGTTGTAATCGTTAACCGTATTGGTTTGAGGTGAGACCCTAGGCGTTATACATTATCAATATATGTGGACAAAGTACCAAAAAATAGGTAGTTAGTTATACTTATAAATCACTGCGTGTCGTATCAATATTAGGCTGTTTACCATTGCTATCTACAATTAGCGCCAGATATCTTTACAAGCTAAACATATTTTTTACTATTTAGATTTCATTTTGGTTTTATAATAAATTTGTTTTACCATTTACGATAACAAACTGAAATCGAATGTTTATCTAATAAATAAAGCACAATTCTGTATGTTTGTAATAAGTTTGTCGTTGACATACTTCGATGGATTTAGGTGTTATATTATTATCGTGCTCATAGTCTAAATTTATAAGTTAAAAAATTACTATTGAAAGTGTTGGGAAAAAAGTTTCAATTTTCAAACTGATAGTAATAATTATCGGCATGTTCATTAAAGACAATTTTAAAAAATTATCATCTTTTACAAAAATTCAAATTATGTCTGAAAATTATTTATATTTAGTCCTTTAGCACTTAATTCCCTTAAATAAATTAGGAAAACACAATTACTTCCCTTTATAAAACATTGCATTAGTGGAAAAGAATTTATTTTTTATTACTTTGTTTTGGTGTTGGGAAAAATAATTACATAATTAGCGGGGATTGATCAAGTGCAAATGTTGTAGGTATTTTACGAATAAGCTTGGAGTATTATAATTGTTCATTTGGTTTGGTTTGGCACCTACGTTCGTTTAAGTGAGTGCAAAAGACTATGAATAAGTTGGGGTACCATAGTCGATTATTAAGCCGAAACAGGCGATTCTGCCCCGGGCTAGACTGTGAGCACTTTGCGTTTATGTTCGCGTTAGTGTTTTCTTTGTGTTTAGGTTGGGTTTGCGTTAGTGGTTGCGTTTTGATTTGGTTCGTTTTTGTTCTTTCTTTTTTCGTTTTCGTTTGTGTTTTTTTTGGGTTTGTATTTGTGTTTGTGGTTGGTTTTGCGTTTGGATTTGGTTTGTTTTCGTTTGCTTTTTTGTTTTTTTTCTTTGTGTTCTTATTGGTGTTTGTGGTTGTGGTTGGGTTTGTTGTTAGGTTTTTGTTTTCGTTTGTATTTGTAATTGTGTTAGCGTTATGTTTACGTTTTGTTGTTTAGGTTTTGGTTGGTTGTGGTTTGGGTGGGCTATTCCGGGTTTATGATGATTAATAAACACACAGGTAATGGTCTTTAACAGAAAGGTTTTTGACATAAGCAGGGCCTGACCGGGACGGCTAGTTAATATATAAAATTTTTGAATATTTTTATTTCATGTATATTAAGAAAATGTTTAAAAATTTTTTTTTTTAATTTCTAATCGTACTTCTCACGAAATATAACTAATTTTATTTTATTTTATAAAGTTGTAGCTTAAATGTGCTATACGATGACACCAATGGCTGACATGGCCAATAAATCCTTGGACTTTAATGAGCAAGTAAGGCAATGGGTGGATGAGACAAGAGAATTCATGATATCCAACTCCATGTTAAATGTCATAATGCTAGCACTCAGCGTCATCCTCCATGGTGTGCTATCTCTAGCAGGCGTCTTGTCCAACAGCGTCAACGTGCTCGTCTTCATTCGACTTGGTCTCAAGGACAGCATGAGTGTTGGACTTTGGGCGCTATCTTTTACAGATCTTGTGGTATCGGCTTTACAACTGGGTGGGTGTATCTCATATTTAGTCGCTATAATATACCCACGAAATCTTATCGATATTTGGTATATCGGTAGATTTTATTTTAGCTGGGCGAGGTATGTGGGCTACTTCATATCCTGCTGGATAACTACCATCATTGTTTTAGAAAGATGCTACTGTGTCGTCTCACCGTTTCGTGTAAGGCAGGTGTTTACAAAAACAAAATGTGTCATGTTCATCATCGCAATTTGTGTCGTACACATCGCAATGCTTGTTCCAGTATACACATTCCCCCATTTTGAATGGGGCCGCTACAGCACTGGCGAAAAGGACGAAAACGGGACGGATACTTACTACATGCAAATAAAACTGCATCTTACTGTCGAATCAGCGAAGTCGCAATTCATCATAAACATCATGGAAGGCGTGGTCTTGTCCGTGACGTCCCAAGTTTTGATCATCCTCTGCACTGTTTGGATGATCTATTCCTTGAAGTCGTCATCAAGAATCCGGAGTTCTCAAGATTGCAAGAATGTCAACAATCTCTCAGCACGGGAGAAACGCCTAGTTAAAGTCGTGATTCTACTGGCTATCATCCAAACCGCCTGCAACATTCCCAGATTTTTCGTCACCATCGTGGTCCATCACGTTCTTCCTGGTGTACAGCTGGGAACCTACAACAACCTCGGTATTCTCATGTGGGAGGTCGCCAATGTCTTCAGTACAACGTGTTGTGTCATCAATATCTTTGTGTACCTCACACTCAATGCTAATTTTATCAATCAATTTTGCTCAGTTTTCAAGAAAAGGTTGTACTCTCAGCAACATTAAAGGTTATAGTTTTTAGGACGTTCATGCTAAATTTAAATTCTCAAGGTATTTATTTTATTGTGCAATGTATCTAAATATTTAAGAATTGCGTTTATTACCGTATCAATTTTTTTTTCTAATCTTTCACTGTTTTTGAAGATGTTTTCGTATTTATTTTATCTTGACAGAATTCGTTTTCATGTCTTTTTCAAACGAGTATTACTTAGTCAGAGGATGGCAGTTTTTTGGGATGGAGGGAGGGAAGTGACCCTTCATCCAAATCCAAATCCTAGCCCTAACCCTAATCCAGCCCTTTCCTTTGCATTAACCTTAATTAAATTTATACTGGTTTCGATTTAGACTTAGCTAGATTTATCTATAGTGTCGATTGCTTGTATTTTGTTTAATTGTTCAATATAATATGTAACACATACCACGGGTTACCTGTCAAGTGAGGGGTGGGGGAGATAATTTACAATTAACTGTTATTTTGTATGCTCTTCGGTGAGCGATGTTTCCCTGTGTTCCCATGTCATGTGACCTCTGGAACTCTGGGTAGTCGCGCCTGTGTCTGCGGCATTCAAACCCCAGGCTGCGAAAGACTAGGACCGTTGAGTTGCTGACTTGGGCATAGGTAAACTTAGTTATATAGACATAATGAGGGTATTGTACTTTTATATTACTTGCTTTTTTTATCATACTAGTGCCGCACTGTGCGGACTAGATATGGAGAGTTAATTATATTTATATTACGTGTGTTTATATTTTCCTACTAGTTCTGCATGTAATGGACTAGATAGGTGGAGTATTTATAACGAGCCGACCCGCGGCGTATCATATGCCGCTATTTAGTTGCTGCCAATGAAAATATTTGCTTTAAAACACTATCAGTTGGTCGTTAAGGACGATACTACCCCCACCCTCCTTTCCCACAACCCCTACCCTACAGCCCCCCCCCTCCCCACCGTGAAAGCAGCCTCCTCTTAGTTACCTCCCCTAAGTTTAAAATCGTTTCAAACTAAAATATCTGCCCCTAATAGCCGTCACTAAACCCGGCTCTACGATTGTAAACATTTAGCGTGAACCGCAGCTCACCAGACCATGTGAGGGTGGGGGTGGTAGAGATATGCCTAGAGAGGAAGAGAGGGGGCTGCTAGGCGCGCTTACAGCTTGGTGTTTTCTAGGGTATCCAAGAAGAGAATTATATATATATATATATATATATATATATATATATATATATATATATATATATATATATATATATATATATATATATATATATATATATATAGATTATAATACTTGTTGTCAGTATTGTATACTGGCCGTAACCTTCTATTACATGACACCCGTGTATTTATGTTATATCCTACATGTGTTAGTGTATTCAGAGATGTAACCTATCGTTTGTTTACATTTGTTTTAGGGCTATATGCCATAGATTTGTTATTGGACTTGTCAAAGGCCTGGTTTTAGTACTAGTACATGTACTTGTACTAGCTTACGCTATGTAAGAGGTTTGAGTTGTCCGATTCAATACCATTCGAATTGTGTTGTGGTTGTGTTGTGGTTGTGTTGTGGTTCTGTTGTGGCTGTGTTGTGGCTGTGTTGTGGTGTTTTGGTTGTGTTTTGGTTGTGTTTTGGTTGTGTTTTGGTTGTGTTTTGGTTGTGTTTTGGATGTGTTTTGGTTGTGTTTTGGTTGTGGTTGTGGTTGTGGTTGTGTTGTGGTTGTGTTGTGGTTGTGTTGTGGTTGTGTTGTGGTTGTGTTTTGGTTGTAGTTGTGTTGTGGTTGTGGTTGTGGTTGTGGTTGTGTTGTGGTTGTGTTGTGGTTGTGTTGTGGTTGTGTTGTGGTTATGTTGTGGTTGTGTTGTGGTTGTGTTTTGGTTGTGGCTGTGTTGTGGTTGTGGTTGTGTTGTGGTTGTGTTGTGGTTGTGTTGTGGTTGTGTTGTGGTTATGTTTTTCTTTGCTTTGTCATGTTCCCAAGTTGGTACATTTTAAAATGATTTACCGTGGCGGAGCACGGGTATGCAGCTAGTTTGAAAATATTGTAATCGTATGCAAGCATTAATTAATTACTCATCCAGACAACACACGTGACGACTAATCCCAGGGAAGCCAGCCGGAAGTCGGGGGACGTCCTGAAAGCTGTTAAAATGCTGGACGGGACAACTGAGTCCCCAGTCGCATCACTGCAACAGCTAACAGGACTCTCAAAGTTGACGCGCTAACGGCAGCTGTTCGCCAGGAGACGCCGCTGACGCTCACGAAGGAGCAACTCGATCATCTAGTGGAGAAGATGGCAGCTTTCCTAGCCCGGAAACAACGGTCAGAAGAGCCTGCTACGGATACAGATCCTTATTGTCTCTCAAGGTCAGGCCTTAAAACACTCCACCTCAGTGGGTGACATCACACCACATCGCTACTGAGGCAGTGTTACAAATATGTTATGATATGACCTTTTCAAGTTTTATGTACTGATCAATTTGCACATCTACTTTCATTTTATAACACATATAGCTATTTTTATGAAAAATGATACTTTTCTAAGAAAACTGCTTTAAATTTAGCATATTGTCAAGACAGCAGTGTATCTTCCTGGAAAGGGGGGGGGGGGAGGCACTTGATATTTTCGCGGGGGGGGGGGGGGGCCGGACAACATTTTCCTGGGGGGGGGTATACTGGTAAAAGTATGTTTTCATGTTTTCTATGCACACTCCATTTCATTCGGAATAGGGTTAGGGGGGGGGGTAGACTTTCTTCGGGGGGGGGGGGGGGGGTCAGAGAACCCCCCCCCCCCCCCCTCCCCCCTGAAGAGATGCTCTGGAAAAACCTCTGCACGACATATAGATCCAAGCACACACAGTATTCAAGATGTATCTTTTTAATAGCTGAGACAGATACAAACACACAGAATTCAAGACACATCTTGATTAGGAACACCACCTCATTATTATTTTTCGGAAACTCAACCTACATTGGGTCTAAAGAAGAATTTTTACTATAGATTTGATTTAGGTTGCGAATTCAATGTTCATATTATTAACTGTGTAAATAAAATGTGTTTATAGATTCGTTTTCTTCCTCTTCTTCGTTCTTAATTTGTTCGTGGATCCCCTTCAACACAATTAAGGATACGTGTCTACTGGTTATGCGCCATTGAGGCCATTGTCTCCTGCTTTTCTTTTTGTGGATTTGCTTCCATAGCCTTTGTTCAACCAAGAACAAACTACAAAGCATGTTTGATTTTGGAGTTGTTTCTCCTAGAAGAGTGGAGAGACCCCACCTAACGAGCCTCATCTGCCCTTAGGATTCGAGCTCGAGACTTTTCAGTTTAGTAGCCATGAGCTTTACCGACTCGACCACGCCGATTCTAACTTGGACATATTATCAACAAGTTTTGTATACGTTATTTATGTTTTTAGAATATCAGTTGCCATTTATCTAAAGTGTTGGTATTGCAAACAAGCCGACAGAAATGTTGCGGGGTTGGTTTTTAATGTAGGGTGTGGAGATAGGGGTATGAGAGTTTGGTGGTGGTAAACGGGGTGATGGTGTTGGTGGTGATGGTGGTGATGGTGGTGGTGATGGTGTAGGTAGTGGTGGTTGTGGTTGTGGTTGTGGTTGTGGTGTAACTTGCCATCTCTAAAAGACAAATGATCTGCCCTTTCACGGACCGTGGTCGATTCTCAGGCTTGAAACCACCTAACCTTGACCAACAGTTCATCTTCAAAGGCCTGTCAACACTGTTAACACTAGTATTTAATGTCGTTATCTCCCCTTTATTAATGAAATGTTTCTATGTTTTATTTAACGTTTAATGACGAACCTAATGTTTAATTAGATTAAAAATTAAATACTATTGCATTTTCATCGTAGAAAAACTTATAAAAGATTAAAAAATAAGTAGTTGAGCGTTTTAATCGCAGAAAAATTAAATAAATACAATGTTTGCATTATAAGTTGTTTAAAATTGAGTTACAACATATCCCACAACCCAAACAATAGACGTTGCGAAATAAACAAAGGCTTATACCAAAAACTGATCATTAGCGTCGCTAGGATTATAATCCTTTTTATGTGATCTTGCTTGAATACGGCCCAAGTGAGTTCTCGGATACTACAACTCAGTGTGGCGTAGCGAGGTCGGGTTTCACCCGGTGCAGCACTTAATGGTGTAACCCCCCCCCCCCTCTCAAACTTTTGATTTGCACCCCCTTAAGTTTTTCTCTATATATTTTACTATTTTTCGCCTTGGTGTCACCCCCCGCCCAACCTCGCTACGCCTCTACTACTACTGTTGCTTTATCTTAGTTTTCTATTGCAACAATAAATCTGTGTGAACGCGAGAAAATTCGACATGTCATGTGACATCAGGTGTATGTAACATTGTAATATCAAATAAGGTCGGAAAAAGAGTAAAGAATCCTTTTTAGAACTAGCGATCTAGTGGGCAGATGAAAGACATTTGATGTTTGTTAACCTCGACACATGAAGAGACAGTAATGTCAGCACTTTGAACAAGCGCTGCTACTTTCCCTTACACGAATTAGATACCCATCAGAGTTGGTTGGACTTAGAGACGTTCTAGAGAATTGAACTCGGACTCGAACACAAAACTTACGTGTTAGCAACCCAGCGCTCTACCGCTTAACCTACTCCGTCCCATACCTTAAATAAGCTCGGTGATTGTACCAAATGTGTAAGCACGAATAAAGGCATAGGCTCGGCATTTGTATCAAATGTGTAAGCCCATACGCGTCTTACCAGATGTTTACTCTCAATGAATGTCTGACTATGTGAATCCATACTGTAACGTTAACCTATCTATCAGCCAAATAGAAGGAGAACGTCCCCGGATTCTTTTTTCGGGGTCATATGCAAATGCCTTACGGCCTAAGTGGGTGAACACTTAACACAACGACCCACTAGGGCTCGAATTTAATGTCTAGGGAAGCTAGTGATACTATTGTAATTAACACTCATCCAATCTACATACGACCTTTTAATCAGCGAACACA